AGCCCTCCCCCCAACAGCCCTCCCCCCAACCTTGGTGCTCCTTAGCAAACTAGGACACGCCAAGTGGCTCTCACAAGGTATGTCTACGCAGCAAGGAAAAACTCGCCGCTGGCCTGCACCAGCTGACTCGGGCTGTGGGGCTGTTTCCTACAGCCCAGATGTCTACACAGCAGTGAAACAGCCCCGCAGTCCGAGCTCAAGTCGCCTGGCACGAGCCAGCCGCGGGTGTGTAGTTGCTGCGTAGACGCACCCAGGGAGGAAGGACGTTTTTTAAGGGGGAAATTCGAAGTCATTTCCACGTTGCCACAGAAAGCTGGAGTCACAGTTCGCCGGGGAGGGAGCATGGCGTTTGCTTCTGAGGGCTGCAGCTAGGTGGGCTGTGTTATCTGCATGCAACCTTTGAGCATGACCCTTCTTGGTGGCTTATAATACACAGCATGATTAAGGGTGTAACTGTCAAGCACTCAAGAATCTTCTGCCCAACGTTCTCATCGGTCTTTTTAAACACTGTGCAGTGACACCACTGTCCAGTGATCTGCACCATCGGCAAGGCAGCAGCAGGGCGCTGTGCTGATTGACCACTCGGATGACAGTGTCCTCGTGTGAGGGGTGAGGTGTGACAATGCCTGGATGGGTTGTCTCACTCAAACCAAGGATGCAAGACGCAGCGGGGTCCGCATGGCAGGTGTACAGTAATCACAGAATTGTTGAGAATCCCAAATGGTTGAATTTAGTGCTGTCGATGTCACCGTGTTTCACAACGGTGTGTAACACCACAATGAGGAAACTGAGGGGTCACGTGCCCAAGTCGGAAGTGGGAATAGAACCCAGGTCTCTGGACTCCCAGTCACCTGCTCTAACCACTGGAGCATGCTCCCTTCCCTGCCGCTACAGAGCGAGCCCACAAAGATAGCAGCGATATGTGCCAAAGCGTTCAGGTTTGGAAATTAGTTACATGGCAGCTTTGGTTGTACTTCGTGCCAGTGAATGTACACAAGCCGAGAGCTGATATGCTGGGCAGTTGAGCGACACGCTATCTGTCAGTCCCTCCTGGAACAAATCCTGCGGTGTAACTCACACCCTATAAACAACCAGCCTCAGCCCCCTTAAAGAGACGATACTTCCTGGAAGTTTCAGAGTGGCAGCTGGTACTTTGAAAAGTCAGAAGCTCTCTGGGCTACTACAGTTTTCCAAGCCCCTGCATATTTCATTTCCCCCCTCCAGGAATCTCAGTCCTGCCCTGGCAGCAAATACAGTGACGTTAACATCAAGCGCCAAATCAGAACGATACGGTTACAGCCTAGCAACTCCACCCCAACCCAGTCCCCACCCCAACACCTGAACTGAATTGATCCCCAAGGAATCTAACAGGCCCACAATTCCCACTGCCGTGGATGAGGGCAGGGAGCTAGAGCAGAACATGGGCCTGGTGCGGAAGGTGGGGAGCACCACATGTGAAGGTCATCACCAGGAGTCGAGGGTGCTCAGAACCTGGCAGAATCAAGCCCATTGTCCCTAAAGAGCATCGTTAAACGTACATCATCCTACCCTGGAGCAGAGCAAATGAATGGATGAGATAGCCAGGGGCCCTGGGTGTTCACTCAGCCTCGACGGTGCACCAGCGGGGTCAAACCTTTCTAGACGCACGTCTCAGCGACGCTGACTCACGGGTAACGTGTGGCGTGGCTGTAACACAGGCAGGCATGGACAGACCGGGACAGCCATGATCTCTACCTGATAAAGTCAAGGAAGGAGAACACCACAGAGCAGAGTCCCACTACAGAGACAAGCACTGTCCAGGCAGGGACGTGTAACACGAGCAGAGCCTAGGAAGTCTCTACGGTACAGAACACACAACAGCTTGGCTATAAAATATACATCAAGGCAAGAAACTTCCCTGGATCTAACCTCAACCAGCTACCGACTTACTATGTGACCTCAGTTTCACTCGGCCTCCTAGCATCTCTGTCGCCCCTGCAAGAAAATGGGGTAAAAAGCAGTTGAAACCTTAGTGGCAAGACACATAGACATTATAGACCCCTCTGCAACCACTGCAAACCTAAGGGCGATGCATCTGGCGGCTGCCTGTCCCCAAGAGAATACATTACAGGCCCTTCTCCCGTCACTGTGAACCTGAGGATGCTGCACCTGAGAGCTCGGCTCCCCCAGGGAAATATGTTGCCAAAAGACCTTGAAAATAAAAAGTGCCTGGCTGTTGGATTTCAGAGTTCACACGCTACCTCGGATTTCTACACGCAGACCTCGCAATCCAGGGGCTTCAACGGGGGGCATGCTGGCAAAGCCGGGGCAGCCCAGTTTGCTCCCTGGATATGCGGGAAGTGAGGCAGCACTCGGCCGGCACGGATGCGCGTCTGTATTTTACTGACACACAGCAGTCCGTAGGCTTTAGGCAGGCACAAGGGTGAGAGATTTCGCTAACCTCCCATTGCGTGTGTCGCCGGCTGCTGCCCGTCTGAGGAATGAGAACCGAACCAGCTACGTGATGCGAAACCGTCATCACCACCTGCCCCAGACTTCCATGTAATGATACCAAGCTACTAACTATGCCATCCTACTAGAAGAGGGAGGAGTTTGGAAGGAGACAGGTCCTCGTGGTGCTTTCCTGGGACCTCTCAGTTCAGGATTTTTCTTTGCCCTGGACACTCTGTATCTCCCCACATCAGGAAGGTCTAATGGGGAAACTGAGGCTGGTTCCTGGCCATAAGGTGAATTAGCCTTGATAATATTTACTTCTCCAGCCTCTATCTCCCGAGCAACAATGATGGCCAAAGTTTGCCTTCAGATACTCCCATTCAGCCCCCATTGTCTTGCATAGGGGTGACCAAGAGACAAATCCGGCCCTAAGGTTCACTATCACTGAATGCTTAGACTAGCCTCTGACCTAACTCCAGGGAACCTCACCGAAGCAACGTTCTCACAGACCATTCCCTGCGTCTGACGTCTTACTGGGGATCTCCCTGGCTGCTGTAGATGCTTTCAATCTTGAGGTCCTAGCGCTCCCATGATGTGACGTGTCCTGTATGGACCTCCTTGGCTTCACTGCAGAGTACGTTATGTCACCGGGATTCCTTATGGGGTTCTCCGTGCTTTTTGCAAGCTGGATCTGATGGAATTTCTGGATCTGATGGGAATGTCTGGAGCTATCCTTGGAAACTTAGTGACACCCATTAAAAATCACCTCCACCCCCTAAAGTTTAAAATGATGGAGACAAAAAAAGAGAAAACCTTCCCCTGCAGTTCTCCACGTGCAGCGCCCTCGGTAAGTTGCCTGGCCAGCACTCCTCAGCTCAGTGGGAACACGCAGCGACAGGATGCTAAATCACAGAGATAAAGAAACGGAGTGGGGGAAATAAAAACAGCCCAATCAACTGGGTGTTTGCGAACGACCCCCCTCATGCTCCCTCCGTCCCTCAGTGCAGTGAGGAGCCGGGGAGGAAATGCCGACCTCGGCAGATTGCAATTATAGTTACAATCAATCTTTTATTAGCTTGTTGCTCTGTGGTGAAGGGAGGAGATGAGCCAGGCAGATTCACAGAAGGGGGGAAATTTCACCGCTCACCGCAAAAATTTCAATCAAACTCCGCGGCAGCTGGCTTGATATGCAAAGTGACCGAGAGATGCTACTGTGGTGAGTAACTAACACCCTCCAGGAGGGTGCTGCTGGAGCAACTTTGGACGATCAGACCTCGCGAGAGAGAAAGGCATCGACATGTGATAACCGTGCCTTTATCCCAGCTCCAGGGCATCTCCTTGGGGGCGAGAGGGATACGTGACATAAAATGTGTCCGCGTCAAGCGATTTAGTGCCCACATGCTGAGAAGCTGCGAACTGGTTTAGCAAACGTGTCTGGTTTTAACTAGAGACGGGTGGAGGCTGCTAAGTCTGGATCCTGATTCTGAATGCTCCAAAGCTGGGCTTTGGTTGGACCTGTTTAAAGAGAGTGAAAGTCAGACCCAGATCACACTTTGGACTTGGAATGTTCCCAAGTTTGGGGTATCTGGATCCAGGGGCCCGGTTCGGGCCAATATCAGAATAGGAGCCGTATGTAAAAGGCAGAGCTGGTGCAAAGGTGTTCGGCTCTGGGGGTTTGGTTTGGGTCAGCTCGAGATTTAAACCAAATGCTTGTTGTGTTTCTATCATCACTGGGGCTCCATTTCAGTAGAGTCTGACCCACAGCAAACACACCAGTTAAAAATAAGGAAACCCAGGAGTTCTGAATATTACAAACTCCTCTCGGGGGTGGAGGTGGATTGATCCAGGTGGGCATTTGGCCTGTACATTTGGGAACTAAGCAGACAGTGTCTCTGATGCACTAAACAATCATGATATGAACCTGTCAGATCATTAGAGAATGCTGGCTTCTAAACCAAGAAAACAGGTGATTTTCCCTGGCCCTGAACTGAACGAGCTGGAATTCAGCCCACGCTGAGAAGGGCACTAAATCCTAGGTGGGAGCCTACATTCCATATAGACCTGTCTCCTTGCACCCTGCTATTACCACAGTGGAGAAGAGGAGAAATCACCATTAACAACGGTCTAATTCGGAGTCCTCGGCTCCTCTCTCTTTCCCGACTCTGTCATCCTTGGCTTTTACAAGCCTAGTGGTTTCCCCTGGAATACTGAACCAGACTGCTTTCCTCGTCTCTTTGCATGAACCAGATACAGACGGGAAAAGCAGCGGGATCACAAGGCAGTGCTCAGCATGGAACCCACTACGCTGACTACAGACTTCACCTTCTGTCCTCAGTCTCACCGCAGCTCCTTGTGGTCTCCTCTCCTCTTGGAGGGGAAGATGATCGCCCTGCAAAGCCCCACCGCACGCTGCGGGATCAAAGGATCTTCTTAGCCCCCTCAGCTGCAGACAAAGCACTAGCAAACAGACTCCTCTGCGTGCATTAGATATTAGGGAGCTTGCTTTTCAATTCAGAAATGCTTCCTTCCCCGCTCCCTCCCCACACACACACACACAATTTCCTGGCACAAGGGCATAACTGTTTCTCTGAAATGGCTTCAGAGCTCACCTCATGTGGCTGTTCTGTTTGGGTCACGCATTTCCCTTAAGCACATGGCTACCAAAAGCCACAGCCCCCTTGCACACCCCTCACCCCCAAAACAAATTCCTATCCTGATGGTTGTAAGAAGCTCACATCCTCATTTCTAGGCAATTGCTGCACTTCTTGGCTGGCTGAAGTTCTCCAGCCTCTCATCATGCAGTATAATTTCCCACTCACAGACAGTGCTGTTGAAATATACCCAACTGGGCAATGCGGCTTCCCGGCACTGAAGAGAAACAGAGTTAGGTTTCTTTAACTCCTGTCCCTTCCTCAAATCTCTGTGAGGAGAATTACTGCAACTGCAAAGCTCCAAAGACGGCACCAAGAACCCGGGTGCAAAGGGCTGCAGGTATGATCAATGGGCCCCGTTTAGCCTAATCTGATCACAACAGTTCATTCTTGCTAACTCAAGAATGACCGGGCAAGCTGAAGTTAAACAGGGGCGTGGGAAGGGGTTTGTTTTAAATAAACCAGATTAAAAGATCATTTATTCCAAAATTAAAACGCTTACAAAGCCGCCTCTCTGCACGACAGGGCTGGGGGAACCGGAGTCATTTACTGTTACCAGGTTCCAGGCCAAATGAACGTAACGAAACGGAACACAAATCAGGAGGAGGCCTCCTCCCGTCTTGCTGTCCTGAGGTAGGTGCCGGGCCCGGCCTGGCCGTTGGGTTTCCTGAGGCGTTCGGCTGCTGGACTGTTGAATGGACAAGTGCATGAGGCGGGCGGGAGAGATGCTGAATCCAGGGAGCTGACCTCACAGCCTGGGCTTGATCTGCAGCGGCTTCCCTGGAAAGAGAAGGAGAAAGCGGAAGGTGAGGAGTGTGGTGACGGTAGTAGCTGGCAGTTGGGGAATATAAATCTATGGCAGAGGAAGTGGTTAGAGGTGAGCCCCAGATGCACTGTGGGAAGGGCAGAGGGGCCACAGCACTGGAGAAGATAGCTATGCACATGCTAGATTTATAATTTGGGCTTAGAGGGGCAAACTCTGCTCCCTTTTCTGTGGCCAGGCCAGGGCCCTGCCTGCACAGGGGAATAGGATTCGGAGAGCACCACCTGGACACCGTGCGGGAGCACAGCCACTGGCCAGGATCTCCACCCCCCCAATGGAGCTGTGATAAGAACAGAGGTTAGCCTAGATCTAAGGACAGCGAGAGCTCCCTGTCCTCATCTTCAAATCCTCAGCTGGGCCAGGAAGCTGCTAGCTCAGGGGCCATCTCACCTTCCGAGCACACTGCAACGTGCACCTGGCCGAACAAGCCACCTCGCAGCGACACCCAGCACAGAAGGAAGCGGCCACCAGACCCCCACCACTAGCCAACTCTACAATTTGTTTGCCAGGGAACCGAACCACAGCTTCCAAAACGGGGGGGTGGGGGGGGGGTCTAATGTGAGCTATGAAGAGTGCCTACGGATGCTCTGGGCAGAGCAGAGCATAAAGCATGTAAGTGAGAAGCTAAACTCTGAGCAAACTGCGTCCACGTGGGCTGTGCCAATGCAGCGTGCATTTTAGACAGTCTAGTGGGTAAGACGAGGGGTAATGGCTCAGGGTTCTGTTGTTGGCTCTGCTACTCGTTGGCCGTATGAGCTTGGGCACGTCACTTAACACAGTACCATTTTTTCCTCAGAGCCTCAGTTTTCTCCTCAATACACTGGAAATCCTCTTTCCATCCCTTGCCAGCGTTAGTGATTGCAAAGAGCTTTGCGATCCTTAAATGGAAGGTCGCCTAGATGGGCACTGAGTTACAGCTCTGACTAGGGATTGTGTATGTATTACACACACACACACACACACACACACACACACACACACTGAGCACTAGCCCATATTTCTTGGCAGCTGTGAACCACTGGAGAATTCCAACCCTTGGGCAGATGCCATCCGGTTGACTCCCAAAACAAATTAGTGGCATTTAGTGGGGGCAGCAGCTGCTGCTAAGCCAGTGTGACTAACCCTCTTTCACTGAGCTGGAGGTGGGGGTGGGCAGGCAGTGTTACTGGGGAAGGGGCGAGGAGGGAGAGTTCACATCCATTCGCACTCTCGGCCCAGCCCCCACGGTCCCGCTCAGTCCCACCTGGGCCTCCCCTTGCTCTGCTGCTCATCCCCCTTGGTTTCCTTCTACTCCCATTGTCATGCCTTCCTCCACGTTGTCTCCATCCATGAGCCACCTCCCAAACCGGGCCCGCTGGGTTCCCAGCCTCTCCTCAGCAAACCTTCCCTAAAGGCTCGCTTCTAACACCATCCCCTGGCAAACCTCTTCCCCACCCAACTTCAAATCACAGGAGAAAGGAGGGAGATTGGAAAACCGAAATAACCCTAAACGTGGATCTCCCAATGCGTCTAGTCTTACCCGGCAGGGATTGGCTTGGCAGTGCCAAGCTCACGATCATTAAATGAGATTCTCCATAATAGGGAGCCTCTGCTAGTGAGGCTAGTGAGAGAACAGGGCTTGGGCCAGTGGTGTGAACACAGGGGTTCTAATCCTGCTTCTGTCCCTGGAACAGACGACTGGAAGGGACCTGCTGGGTCACTGAATCCAGTCCCCTGCTATCGCAGGCAACCCTGTCAGATCATCCTGGTCAGAAATTTGCCAAGCTCCATCTTACAACCAGTTCAGTTATTTGCCCCCCGCTGCTTGTGCTGGGAGACTGCTCCACACCCTCACTCTGAGGGGTAGAAGCTTCCTTCTAATTTCCAGCCTCAATGTATTGATGCTCAGTTTATTTGCATTTGCTCTTGTGCGGGGGTGGGACTAGATGACCTCCTGAGGTCCCTTCCAACCCGGATCTTCTATGATTGATTCTAGGACATTGTCCTTCATCTTAACTAGCTCTTCCTCCTCCTCAGTCCCCCTCCCCCCACCCAATGTATTTATAGAGAGCAATCAGGTCTCCTCTCAGCCTCCCTTTTGCTACATTTCAGCCAAGCTCTTTAAGTCTCCTCTCATCGGATATGTTCTCTGTTCCCCAGAGCATCCTCGCAACCCTCCTTCTCTGCAACTCCCCTGTGCCCTTGGGCTAGCGGCACAAGCTACGCGGGTGCTGCAAAAATCCAACCAACACAGGAATGTTTTGTGGGGGGGGGGGGGTATTTCCTCAGTTCAGTTTGAAAACAATATTTGCTCTCACTGCTAGGAAGCTAACCTAACTAGAAAGCAAGTTATCATGTTTCTTAATGGGGAGGCAGTGTTGCCCAGGGGATAGAGCACTTGATGGGGACTCAGGGGACCTGGATTCTAGTCCTATCTCTGCCACCGACCTGCAAAGTGACCTCCCCCTCTCTGTGCCTCAATTTCCCCTCCCATCTTTTGTCTCTCTCGTCTATTTAGACGAAAACATCGTCCTTCCCAAACTGCCCTGGATCGACACACACCTCCTGATAACAAGATCCTTCATGGGCAGGCTACGCTGCAGCAAACAGCACAGCTGAGAAATGCTGGTTTCTGGTTCTTTCCCAATGGGCTGGAAGATACTGTTCTTCTTATGTGGCATCTCCATTTCTGGAAGTTTGCAATAATGGTAGCCCATTCTGTATAGATCTCTGCTAATCTCTTTGTGGATGAATAATCCTTTTGATCCACTTGGGACATCCCACCCCCCATCCATGGTCTTCTTTTTCTGCCTGGTGTTGTTCTGCCACCAACTTTCCCTTCCAGTGCCCAGAAACATGCATCGCCCGGGGACCTCTTAAAAGTATCCTGCAAATCGAATCTTTCTTTACGTAAGATTGCTCACTACTGTTTGCCTAGTTCCAGTCATCGCCAAAACCTTGTCACTGGTTACATGGTGTATCCAGGATATTTTCAGAATTCTTCTGTAACACCATAATTTGAAGGATTGTCGTTTGTTTATTATGGAGGGTTTGAATGTCTATGTTTCACAGCCGTAATTTAACGCCAGCCACATGTAAGTTTTTAAGAGTTGGAATTTAGTCTTCAGATTTATGACGCTTCTCATCAGATGTTTATTCTTCAATGATGTCTCTTCCAGTCTTGCTATTCCAGTGCTAACTTCAGTATCCGATCTTCCATCTTCTGTAAGATACCGTTCCCAAACCCCCCTTTGGCTGGCTCCACAGAGAAGATGTAGAAACCAGGCTTGGATGATTCATTTTCATTACAGTGATGATTCTGCCTTAGTTCCTTACCTGCTTATACCAACGAGCCAATCTATGTATATAGGTACCTCTGACCTTCACAGCTCTGTGATACTCAGAGTCCCCGAGCGGCTACGTTAACAGCTGTGGTTTCCTGATGCAACGAATTTATCAATTAAGGGTTCAAAAAGTTGCAGCTATTTTGCTGGGCCTGCTCTGTTCTGAAAGTACAGGATGAAAAGAGCTGCTCCTTGCGCAGAAACTACGAATTGCCTGCGGGGATAGAGCCTGTGTCTAAAACTGAGGGCTCCCTGCTCTCAGCCACACAGGGACTTCCCCAGGACTTCGATCACTGCTTTAATATCATCAGAGATTAAACATTCCCATATTAAAGAGTGAACTTTATCCAGCTGCAAACACCAGCCGTGGAGAGGGACGGAAAGTGGCAATAACACTTTGTGCTGCTATCACCCCTTTCACGTGAGGATCTCAAAGTGCTTTAGAGACCTGCATTCACCTGCTCAGCACACAGGACGAGACAGGCCATTTCGGAGAGTTCAAAGCCCTTCTCGGACTCCGGGGGAGACAAGTTCTCTGCTTTCGAGAGCACATTTCACCGAGAAGCCATCACATGGATACTGATTGTAGCTAGTCCCACTTCTTCCATGCCCTCCTCCCCTTCCAGCTCTTCACCACATCATCATTGCACAGGGCCAGTATACCCAGACTTTAGGTACAAGACAATCAACCTCATCAGAAGGCACCACCTCATCTCAAATCATCTGCTGCTACATCAAACAGCTGACGCTCACCTTTGCCAAGGGAGAGGCTGACATGACACGGCCAATTATCTATTAACAACTCAATAAGGATATTATAAGAGTGACTTCATGGGGCCCTCAATCAGAGTGTAAATCCTCCAGCTTCCAAGAAGCAACTGCCGTCAGTTCTGTGCTATTACTGCTGGGGAGGGGGCAGATGGAACAGCCTGAATGCAAATGACAGCACTTGCTAGCCCCAGGACTAAGCCTGCTAGCCCAGGTGAAATGACAGGGCCCCACCTTTGCAATGTTGAACGGTGCATTACCAGTCCACTTGCTGGTTCATACACTTTGCAAACAGAGATGGGCTTTTCTTTCTGTTTTTCTCCACATTGTCACGCCCATGTCATTTTCTGCAGTGTTTGAACATGTGCTCTTCCCTCTTTTCCTTATCTGCCCTGCCTGCTTCCCGCCTTTCTGCTCATTATATACAGGTTAGGTGCAGCCCTGGGCTTAGGGGACAGACACCCTCCCTAAGTACTCCAGCATGCAGGGAGCTAACATTGGTTTCTTTATTTGCTCTGCTGTATTTCCTGTCCCTCCTGCTTTCCCCCGCAAAGATCCCCCTCTCTGCGCTCTGAACTACTTTTAAATGTGTCCTCCCTCGCCCCGAGTCAAATACCTATCTGGGTCCTCTCACAT